CTTTTCAGAAGAGAAATGTTTTAAGTCTCATTTGTGGTAATCAGTCACTTGAGCCTTTTTGCTGCAATGTTTTTCTGCTCTAACATTTTAACATATCCTTACAGTATTATCCTTCAATTTTAAATCTCTTCAGAGATATTTAACCTAGTTAAGGCTCTCAATTCTTTTAAAAGAGTTTGTCATTTCAGAATTAGGGAAAAACAGCTGTCACTCCTGTGGAGGATTCTACTAAATCAGAGTATAATGTCGGGCTTTAAAATGAAAATTGTTTTCATTTCTATCTTACACTCTGACCTTCACACAATTTTCTGTGATATATAGGGGAGTCATCTAAAATATTTAGTCTCCCATGTGCTCTTGGCAAGTAACCTAACAACCTAAACTCTAAGTCTCCAAATGAGAAAGCCTAAACTCAGTCTTTTCTTTCACAAAGTGGATAAAAATAATACTGCTCACCTCATATGGTGGTTGTGAGGATTAGATGAAGAAATACATCAAAGCATTTAGCACAATGCCTGGCACAGCATACTACTTAATACGTGGTACACAATAGTTCTTACTTGGTGACTATGGCACAATCCAATAGGCTGCAGCAGTGAAAGCAGTGATTTGGTAGGACTCTAAAATACATATACTCCTGAAAGCACTATTGTTTTCAGTCATTGCAAGTTTGTAATAGCAATTCTTAAGTACTGAAGTAGTACTAGAATTTGGGGGGATATTTTTACACAGCTGTGACATGCTCTTCTAGTAGTGATTCCCAGACTTTTGTTGTCTAATTTTATGTGTCTAAACCTCTGGATCCACAGTTGGGAGGGTACCCACATTTGTTCTCCTATAGTACCTGGAGTACTGCTAGCCATCACCCTGAGTATCACCAATAATAGTTCAACTGAAGAGCTATGATAGCCAGAACAGAGAGTCACAAGTTCAATCAATGCCTTTTTAACAGAGAGCCACAAATTCAATCAAAGCCTTTCTAAAAGGGATTTCCCACTGAATCTCTGCAGTGTCACAGTAGTTTCTGATCACAGTAGTATCACAGTACTAGTACTACAGAGCAGTAATATCAGAGTAGCAGCATCACAACAGTATCTCTAGGCACAAAGATACAATTTAAAAAAAATCTTCTGCAGAGACTTTGAGAGATAGACTGAAATGGGGTGCTGGCTAATACTTCTTCACCACTTATTCTTCTTTGATTCTCCATTCTATTTGTAGTTCAATTTCTCATTTTTCACTCTCATCCTGTTTGGCCTAATGACCACTCACTTCACGACAACTGGAAAAGTAACATTGACTTTAACATACATTCATTGCAGAATAAAATAGAAACCCAATAAATAATTTTACAATTTTTATACCTATCTTGGTAAATCCTATAAGCCCAGGCAAATAACTCCATTATCATTTTCATTTCCTTAGGTTAATTCTCACTGAATATTAACTTGATATATTCAAGTAATACATAATACAAAAACTAAATTTGAATATTTAAAACATTCACTATTTTCTCCACTGTGTTTGGTAATAGGTAGACATACATACTTATAGGTTCTAAAATCTCAGAATTTTAGGCAAAAGTGCTATAACATGGGGTAATCAGAAAATGCTTATGATGATAGTAGGAAAAATATAAATATACAAATGAGTTTACACATCAAAGACATGATAAATTTTAAAGACGTATTACATTATTTCACATCTTATAAGAAGTATAAAAGGTTAATAAAGTTTTCAGATAGATTAAATGATTATTTTAGACTTTAATAAGATCAACTAGCTTACAAATGTTTAATCAATTTAGGACGGCATGGGGTTCATAAAGCACATTGAAAAGCAAGCAAATGATCATCATGGTTTGTGTTGACGATATAATTAAACATAATATTATGGACTCTGACAATAGATTTCATGTAAAATGCTTGCATGGATGGATAATGTAAACACCTGTTAGTTCCACTTAGAGTAGTAAATGAATAAGGCTTTTCCTTTCATGGGAAAATTACAGTAGCCTTTTGAAACTATGTAAGTGCATAAGGTTCCCTCCTTTGGTCAGGCAATCTGCCCTAGGCCTGATAGGTACTCCTTTAATTTCCTGCCGTCACTTTCATCTTCTCTTTCCTCATAAAGAAGCAGATTTCTCTCCTTTCCTGCCTGAGATTTTCAACTTCCTCTTCACCAATGGCTTCTTCTCGTCAGCCTGTAAATATGATCAGGTGTCTGCCATCTTACATATTCTTTCTGTCTTCCTTATAGTTCCTTCTAGATTCCACCATAATCCTCTCTTTTCTTTCAAAAGGAAACTGCTTTCTGGAGTTTTCTAGGTTTCTGTCTCTATTTACTCTGTAATGAGGAACCAATTTTAGGGTAAAGCCAACAGTATGAGTGAAAGAAGGGGGAGGGAAAAACCTTAAGTACTTAAAATTACATAACTGAAGACAAAGACTGAGCCTTAGCCTACATGTTGACTGACTCTAATGTTAGTTAAATATTTCCTTAATGTTCAAGGCTGTTTTCCTTGTATATTCTATAACTTGGAATGGAAACAAACCAAAGGATAAAAATCTTTGGTTATTCCTTCTCTTTCTTCTTCCTAGGGACATTTTTGAAATGTTGGCGTTCTGTGGAGTTCTGTGTCATGCATCTGTCTCACTTACGTCTCAAGTGTAACATATGCTTTGATGATTGCTGAGTTTGTATCTCTAGCTAAGATTTCTCTCCTGAACTTCAGATAAATATATACAAACATCCACTAAACGTTGCCACTCAGATGCACTAAAGATACCTCAAATCAACATATTTAAACTTAACCCCCCCCCTCGGGTTTCTACTTCCACTTCCACCTATTCCTCTTTTTGTATTTCGAATTTTATTGCATATCGCCACTCACTTGTCCAAATTAGAAACATGGGTATCAATCTTGGGACTGTTATCTATATCCTATGCCCTATGTCCAGCAAATTACAAGATCATTCTGACTCTACCTTTTAAGAATATTTTGAATCTATGCATTTCTCTCCACCACCCATTGCTTCTATTTATTCTTCCCTGAATTACAATAGACATTTTTTAACTGGTTCAATTGTCTCCAGTTTTCCTCCTCTCCAATTCATTCTCTGAAAAGCTATCAGAGTGCTCTCTTTAAACGAAGACTTAATCATGTCTTTCCCGTGTTGAAGATACTTCAGCGTTCCCCTTCCCATTCCATTCGGAATAAAGCCTAGCATGATCTGGCTTCTGCTTATCCCACCAGCCTCATTTTACATCACTCTTCTTTCTCAGCTTTCTTTATTTTCTCTAGTAAACAGGTGCCCTTTCCAGGTGCTCTAAAAGCTCTGTATCCCATCTTTACAGCACTAATCACACTATATTATATTTATCTGCAATGCTGGATATTGCTTAATAGGCAGATTAACAAATCAGGATGTTAATTATTTTGGGTAAATAATTTGAATAGATATATATGTATTTTAAGGAGCACTGCAGTCATCATCAAGGGGAAAATCATCACCTAGGTTACAAAGAAAGTATATAATTATGTAGTGTATAAGTAAGTTATGAAGCACAATTAGAAAATGAACACTCCTGAAATTAAGAACTAGAATGTAAGAACTACAATTCAACTTAAGAAAGAGAACAGAACCAAAAATGCCAGCTTTCTACCCCAGCCTCCCCTTTAGAGATAACCATAATACCAAATTTTATGTTAACCTTTCCCTTATAAAAATAGCTTTCTCACTCATGTACTTATGCCTACATAATATATTTTTAGCTTTGCTTCTTTTTGAGAATTATAAGTATGGTGTTTTTGATGTGTAGTAGTTTCTGAAAATTGTTTTTCACTAAAATTATGTTTCTAAAGTTTATATACATTATCATAATTACAGTTAACTAATTTTCATTGCTGTAAATTATTCCTTTGTGGGAATAATAGAATTTATGTACATACTTTTCTGGCAATAGACATTGAGTTTTTCCAGCTTTCTACTATTATAAATATTACAAGTATTTTGTATGGCATACACAGGAATTTTTCTAGAATAATATCTTGGGGGAATTGTTGGAAGGTAGGATATGTACATGTTTATAATTTGTGTTTGTGTTTTTTATTCCCACAAGAAGTATTAGAGTTTCCATTGCTCTTCCACTTACAAACAACTTATATTTTTCAGACTTCTTAATTTTTCCAAGTCTAGTAGGTATAAAATAGCATCTTTTCTGCATTTCCCTGATTAACAGGCTCAGTTTTTAAAAAGTTTATTTACTCTTCTGATTTCACTTGTATTTTATGCCCCTCCCTCTTTTTTTGTATTGTGTTGTATGTCTTTTCTTATTGACTTGTAGGAGTTTTAAACAATATATTCTGAAATACCAGTCTCTTGTCCCTCATATATCTTGCAATTATCTTCTCCCAGCGTCTTTTTTACTCTATTTCTGGTGACTTAACATGTGGTAGTATAATTACCTACTTATCACTCAGCCTAACTCACTAGACTAAAAGGCCCTAGAGGTAAGACACCGCATCTTTTCATTTTTGTTCCCCGGTATCCAGCAAGTGCTGCTGCTTTCTCACTATGAGTTTATTGGGAAAATGGGTGAATGAATGGCTACAACTGTAGAAATGGTGAATCAATCTTTTTATAGTCAAATTTCATTTCATGCAAATTGATGATGCTGAAGCCAAGAGAGTCAGAAATATATGTTACACACCTTCCTGTATTTGCACTTCAAAGATGGGTGTCAGGCATGAGTAAGGGGTGCAGAGAGGTGGCAGAATGCTGTTTATACAAATTTATTACCAGCTCTGAACATTTGGCAATGTTCATTTTTCTTTGTTTTCAATGCACTTATAGTTAACTAAACTTCCTATAGTGGGATAATTTTTAGCCTACATTTATCACAAAGTTAGAAATGATGTTAAGACATAAGATATGGATTACATGTTACAATGGATGTGCAAGGTTCATGGTTGGTGTCATTAATTTAAAATTGGTTACCTTTTTAGTAATGGTATCCGGAGGTACATCCCGCCTCCCAAGAGGATAAGGATTCCATTGGCCACTGGGAGATACATCTTCTTGTCCATTGTCTAAAATGTTGCTTTGCTGGGACGGGGTCTATTGCAAAAATGGTATGGCATTCTTTAGTGATGTAATAGAAGTTTATCATAGTTTTCTGAAAAGAGTCCCTAATGATTATGGTAAAATTAACTTTGTTTAATTGCAGATAAAAGTTTATCCTGAACTAGAAGTATTATTACATATTATTTACTCAGTAAAAAATTATTAATTGACAGCATTTTGGAAGCAGCGAGAAATTCAATTAAAATAACAATCAGAGTTATTTACTGCATTTTAAAGAAAAGTTTAGATTAGTTACAGTAGCTGAATAAAAATAATCAGAATAAAATTAACCAATTGTTAAAAACCACAACATTTAAAACTTGCTTAATTTGTTTCTTTCTTACCATTTAGAATATAAATTGAAACCATATACTTCCAATATTCCAACCATAACCTAAAACAAATTTCATGAGGCTGTTCTGATTCTGGGAGCATATATCTCACACTAATTGAAAATAGTGTTAACCCTAGCATAGTGTAAGATTCATGACACTATGACATTATATACAGGTAGTTTTTAGGGAAAAATTAAAATAACATAAAAATATTGTGCTATTAGAATCACACTGTAAATAGACCATGACTATTTTGATTCTAAATTTATTTATATAGATCATTTATGCATTAAACTTTAAACTATATATGCATATAGTTTATTTTTTGCTGACTTACTGCTTATTATTTTCAACAGGTAATAATGCCCATGTCTTTATCATTTTTAATATTAGATATTTAAGCGCTTCTCCATAGTCTGACCTGAGTAATAGCAAGTAATCACACACCATGGAGGGATACAGTAGTGGGGTATTTTTCTTGGAGGAGCAGATTAACTTTTTGCAAAGTCTTTCTCCTCCCCTAACTTACAGGACACACAAATACTACTTGATTTCCTGTGGGAGTCTTATGTGGGTGAGATATTATGTTTAGTGTTTCCTATTCCATTTTCTGTCTGTGTTTTGAAGGATCACCATAGATAAATAAAGCCAGGTTACAGGGTATAAGTGCATCTTACTCTGTGTGAGGTATTGTCTTCCAAACCTAGAATGGGAGAACTGGGCCATTCTCTTTATAACGTGGCAGAGATGGGCTGCGTGCCAGGCTTCAACTAATTATATGGAGTGGTCCTAGTTGTTTTCCTTTAGAAAAAAATTATGTAACAACATGATCTGTATTCTGACTACATGCATTTTTAAAAAGGATTGCTTGGAACTGTTTTGAAATCTAATTGATAATGACACTAGATGAAGTTTTCCTAAGGTCTCATGGATATAGGAAAAAGTAAGGAGATAACTCAGTTTTCTTCTTGTACTTTGGCTATGTGAATTCCTATTTCCTGAGCCTATCAGAACATATGAAAAAAGAGAAAAAACGTATTGAATTGAAGCTCCTTAGCTACGAATGAATTTACTTGTGTCTTTGTACTAAATGCTTATATTAGAAAAGAAGAGGGATCTTGAATCAATAATCTAAGTTTCAATATTAAAATACTAAAAAAGGTCAAGTTAAATTTAAAGCAAAAAATGAAATGATATCTATAAGGAAAAAAATGAAAATCAAAAGTGGATAACACATTTAAAGTTAACCAGATAACTATTCAATGCCCATCTGTCTTTATGCATTAATTTTTTAGTCTTTACCTTTCCAGATTAATATGCCCACACACAATTTTTCTAGATATTAAAATATGACATATAAAATTACTTAAATTAACATAATATTGTAGGGTAAGCATAACTAGCCAGTTTTATTTTTGTTGTTGTTGTTGTTTTAAAAAATTTTTAATACCTACATCTTTTTTGGCTTGGTTTCTTTGCCAGTGAAGCGGGTTAATACATGTGTTCATCTGGCCAGGTCTGTGCAACACAGATTTTTGAGAAGTGGCCAGAATTCAACACAGGTATCCCTTTCTTTTATCCATATCATCCCCATCTCCAGCTCTATTTCCTCCACTAAACTTGATTCAGCTGGCCAGACATGACTCCTAGGCACAAAGAACAACTGAGGATTACAAAATTCTTTCTGATGTCAAAAAAGGCTAAAGCCCTTTAGTTAAAATCCTAATATCATGATGATGTAGGCTCTTCATTAGTTTATAAATTAATCTCTTTCTTTTTAAAATTAGGATCAGCAATTGCACCAATTTCTCTATATTATAGCCAAAGGAAACATAAACATGCAGACACATAAAAAAATACTTTCACTAGACAGCAAAATTAAAGAAATTTCACGGAAGCAATTTCCTTTATTAATTTAAAGAATGTTGTAGCCTTTTTGTTTTTCTTAAGTGAGACACGCTAAGGGTGACTTAAGTTTGCAGGAATAGAAAGACCATGAAAGTAGTTTATTAATGTTTGGGAGGGGATAACCCAAAAGAGAATTATGTGGTAGGTTCACATTTTTTCCCAAAAGGAGAATAGCTATTTACAAAAAAAATGTACTTTTGACAAAGTGCTACTGAACTGTATATAAATGCAGCTGCTCAGTTGTTAAAATTCTATGACAGGTTAAAAGGATCAACTAACAAATGCAAAAACTAGTGAAATCATCACTGTTGAAATTTATTTCAGAGAAAATAACCAAATTGAGGTTAAATTATTTTCAGTACCACATTCTAAATACTCTATTTAGATTTTTTTTAAAGATTAAGAATGAATCTTCTTTTCTTCACCATATATAACCAATTAAATATAAAAGACATGGAAAATCATCACCATGCACCATCATCCCCTCAGCCTCTAAATTCTGTAGCTTTTTAATATTTCAAAACAGTTGGGAAAATGGTCAGTGTGATTTCATGAAAAATAATAAACTTTATTTGTTAGGAAATTCAGAAATGCTAGTAAAAGTTTTGCTGAATAGATGCTGGTCCCAAAGGCTGCTGTGGACATTTGTAGATTTTACATTTATGATTTTGACTACTGTGAATAATCACAAGTGTCTATCACAAGAAGTAATTTCTAATTTCGCTGAGATACAAATGTACGTATATATGTACATATGTCTGTCTGTCTCTCTATATATCGGTGTATGTATGCGCATGTTTATGAGTGTGTGCATGCATGTATGTATATGTGTGCCCATATGTGAGTATATGTGTATGTACAGGATTAAAAAATTAAGAGTAAATGAAATTGATTCATCCAATGGCTTTCCTATTGTCTGCTAATTGATGGGTGCAATGGAAGCTTGGGAAATTCACTTACTGCATTTTGTTAGAGAAATTCTATGATCATGGTATTAGACTTTGGCACTTTGTAGGATCTTAGGATATAGCCCTTAAGAACTTCAAGGATCTATTTTGCTTAGTAATTGGCACATAGCTTACAAAGAACATTACCATAGATTCAAACAGTGTGTTAAACATACTTTTCCCCAAAGTATTTCCAGTGAAATTATTGTTATATTATTCTTTTTCTGAATGTTTTTTGAAAAAAAGTAGACATTATAAAGAAAAATATATTCCAGGTTGGCTCTAAATGATTATGACTTCATGAAGTTCAGTATCAAGGTGGTAATATAACGTCCAGATGAATTTTTAAGCCAGCATTTCATTATAATGGTGAAGAAGCATCTTGGATAAGGACTAACATTATTATTTTGGTAATTTTAGCCACTGTCAGTGAAAATGTATGTGGTTTATAAGCTAAAAGCATTTTTCATAATTACAAAGTTAAGGGAATCCTTTTGAGGGTAGGTGGCCAGTAATAAATGCAGCAAAATCAATAGAGACTATAGGCAGGAGTTGTCCCAGGGTGCCACATAAATCTTGCTTTGCTTTAAGCAGAAAAATAATGACATCAAGTAAGTAACCCTTAGAACTAGGGTGAATAAATGCATATAAAATGTTGGTACTATTTGATTCTCAGTCATTTGCATAGATTCAGTAAGAAAGGACATCAGAAGTTTTAAAATAGTTTAGGTGCAAACACTGCTATCTAAGTTTATCTAATTTAAAAGATGGTGGAATAAGTATCCACAGATAGTGAGAGCACCTTCTTCCAGGCAAATTGCTATGAAAAGATTATTAATACATATATTTCCATAAGTTCCACTTCCCTTTCCCTGAAATTATAATTTATATTAGTGTCTGTTTCAATAAGCCAATAAGCAGTAGGTACTGTGGTATAATATTATGGTGGTAGAAGTTAAAAAAAAATGGAAAAAAATATCAATTTCTCCAGTGCAGAAGAGACCACACTACTTATATTGGCAGCTAGACACCTGCCATTGGGGAGTTAGAAAAGGTCAATGATTTCTTCCCCCCAGACTTTCCTGTCTCTGGGGCTACAGTAGCATGGATGATTAATTTATTATTTTCTTGGGGTCACCACCTTTGGCCTTTCACTGACACTAGTCCTAGTTCTTGGTGATACTGAGTTCTTAGGAAGTGCAAGTGGATCTTAAAGAGTGTACAGTAATTACTAGCGTTTATCAAGTTCAGCTAACTAATGGAGCATGTGTCTGTAGCATATAGGGAATGATTTGGGTCATGATATGTTTTGGATAAATTAATATATTGTACTTGTGTATTTTCTTCTTTATCCCATGATATCTACATTTCTAGACTTTTGTAAAGATGATGTGAGATACTAATGCATATGAAAAATCTTTATCAGATCTTTATCAGCTATTATGAGTGATGTTCTAAGAACATGTCGGGTTTTATAAACATTTGAGAAGGCATCATCATATAGTAGAAACAGCAGGGACTTGGGTGCCCAGCAGAGTCAGATTCAAATTCTACCTGCTACTACACTGGCCACAGGGGTTATAATAGGAAAACAGTAAAAATGCAGGCGAGTTCATTTCTGTGACACATAAATTTTAGATTTCTTATCTCTACAAGGGAGATAAATACTTCCTTTGAAGGTTTTTGTGAGAGTTGTGGGGACAACATATTTAAAGTACCTAATGGGACCAGGTACATAGTAGATACTCAATAAATTCTAGCCTTTATTCTTCTATCAAAATATTTATTCTACCATCAATCTGAATAATAAAAATGGTAGTTTGAACGGACATTTTACAATACAGTTGACCCTTGAACAACATGGGGATTGGGGTGCTGATCCCTGTGCAGTAAAAAATTTACATATAACTTTTGACTCCCCAAAAACTTAACTACGAATAACCTACCATTGACCAAAGCCTTACAGATAACAGAGTCAATTAACACAATATTTTGTATGTTATATATATTATGTACTGTATTCGTACATAAAGTGAACTGGAGTAAATAAAATGTTATTAAGAAAATCATAAGGAAGAGAAAATACATTTTCAGTATTTGTTGAAAAAAATCCACATATAAGTGGACCTGTGCATGTCAAACCCATGCTGTTAAAGGGTCTACTGTATTATATTTCTCTCTGATAACATAAAATTTCAAGACAATAGCAAAGTTCAATTACAACAGAAAACATCCGAAGAAGCACATGGAACCATTAATAACATCATAAAAAGTTGCCTTAAATGCTTTTTGGAGAGGCAGTAAATAAATGATAAATGAGAAAATAAATGAATAAATGAATAAATAGATAGGAAATATGAATAATTTTATAATTCAATAGCTGATTTATGTCTTTAATGTTCTGATCAAAACTACTGTCAATTTTGGGGGAAATTAGAATAAGTATCAATAAATAAAAGCATTAAAGGATATTGAATTTATGAAACTAATTTTGTTGTTTTATTTATTCACAGTCTTTTACTATCTTAAGAGTTTTCATAAAATTACATTAGAAAATGCAATATACGGTTTATAGCACAGAAGCCTATATCTTTTAGTTTACTATAAATTTGTTTAAAAGAGTGTTGAGAAAAAAATAACTAGATATGTTTTGGTAAACTAAAGAAACCCCCCAAGAACTCAGGTTGCACAAATAGTGCTTTTCTGTCAATTACCAAGGTGCGGGGGAAGGGAGGAATCACAAAAAGGTCCCCTTTCTGGATGCACTTAGAAAAGGACAGTCTCAGGGCAACAGAGGAACTACTAAAAGCCCTCCTTTCTTCTACTTGCAAGACGTACAGCTTGGTGAGCAGAATGCGTGGGAAAGGAGCCTGGATTTCAGGCTCCGAATGCTCCCTGAGGAGGACACCACTGCACCGAAGTATGTGGCAACTCTGTCTCCTGTGCTTAACTTGTCATATGTGAAAATGTTAATTTAGATTCCTTAGGATACTTCATTCATTCTTTCTAGGACATGCCAGTCGTTTGCCATAACAACTAACTAGAGATGGCCAGCATTATCCTTCAGGAATTCTATGAATAAAAAGACAGCTCCAGGATTTCCATGAGAGAATGAACAGTTTTGTCAATTTTATCTACTGAAAATGTTTGCTTACAAATTGATCTAATTCTGTATTTTAGTGGAATCTCTAGGCTGAGACACATTTAAGGGCTGTAAAGAAATTGTAATTTTTATTGTCTTGAGCAGCAAGACACAAGTGCTGTAACAGACTTTTATGCACTTGTAAATTAAAGGAAAATAACTTTGCCTATCTCCTTTCCTTTAGAGAAACGGAGCCTCAAGCATGGGACCAGTTAGCAATGGTCAGTGGATCCAAGAAGGGAGACTCTGAGAGGCTGCATCTTAAGAGAGGGTGACATGAAAGCTCAGCAGAAAACAACAAACACGTTTTCCAAATAGAGAAGCTCTGCAGAAGAGGTGTGCCTGAGCACAAACGTAACGGGGGCAGAGGCAGATTGGACTTCGTGGGAGGAAGCAGAGCCTGGAGTAATCTCATATTGAGTAAGCACCACCCAGGGCCCACACATGATAAAGCTCCTACAATGGCGGCAGGGTAGGAAAGTTGTCCCAGAGGCCTACATGACTAAAGTTTATAGGCCTTAAACTGTCCATTTTTGCTCATAAAAACTTTTGGTGGTAATGGACTAGTTGCCCTGCGTGTGTTCCTTTTCCATCCCTGCCTTCTCTCTCTCTTCATGTGGATAATAAAGTATTGATGATAATTCATTTTCAGATGGAGTCTTTCAATACTTCAATCATTCTTGGTTTGCAATTTAATGTAGCTTCCAAAGAGAATCCCTTTCGGTCATCTCTTGTCCAACTGAGAAAGGTTGAAGCATCTCTAAATATTATAACTGTAATATTTCTGTTATAGACCATCTTAGAGCTATAGTAATAGTTAATGAATCCATTCTCTAGGGTACCTCAAACAACATCTGAAAATTAATATAGCAATACAGAGGTACTTAAGTTATATCTGGAGATAATTTAGATATTGAGAAAAAGTGCTTCAAAGTGTTATTACTATTTTTCAGACACTGAATATGTCTGTATTATTCTATAAATTGATGATTAAACAGGGCTAAAAGTTAGTCAAATAAAGAGCTATTCATATGGTGTAGTTTCAAAGGGTTCAAGCAATAGCTTCCTTCATAGCAAAGTCTCTCTAATCTCACAGAATTTTGAAATTCCATTATTTTAGTTGAAGGGTTTGAAATCTATTAATTGGCATGCCCTCTAGGAAAGGAGCCTATTCAAATTTGTGATATCTCATTTATTCCTCAGTGCAAATAAATTTCAAGGCCTCTTGGAAAACTGGTTTGTTAGGGTCAAGGATGACAGCCCTCAGCATCTGAGAGAAGGTGAACAGGTTCCATTAAGTTGGAGCTCCAGCAAAAAGGTTTTTGCTGATAGCTGTGTGCTGGGCACCAACTTGAATTAGCTCATGAGAGCCATCTGTACTCAGGTCCCAGCTCTGAGTTCAGTGATATTAATTCAGTGCTTTGAAACTGGCCGTCGAGTGAAAGTTTATATCACTGACATTGGCAAACAAACACCACAGATCAGGGCCTTGTTTTTCTCCCTGTAGAGATAGTTACCCACACACCACTGGTCCTGCAACAGAAGACTGAGGACAGGACAAACATTCAAATGTTCTTAATTTTGTTAGGTTTTTTTTTTGTTGTTGTTGTACTTGTAGTTTTCAAAGTGATGAAAAGCTGTGAATATAAATGTCCCTTTGATTTTATTACTCTATTCACAGGAGGAAGCAAACAATCTGGAGTGAGGGATTGCTACTAAGACTAATTTGACAATAAAACATGAATTTTAGGCCTTTTGACCCTCAGTTTGCTGGGATGGGCATTTGTTCCATATGTTCATTAATTTTATTAGGAAAGAAGTGCTTTATTAGGAAAGGAGGCTACAGTCGTTCTGTTATCCCCACCTTGCCTTGCTTTTAAAAAAATGACTAGGTTAATGACTATATTAATAATATAGTCACGATGACATATTGAGTGAAAATGACTCGTTAGTCTCCACAAAAATGTAACTCACACAGAAGGCATTAATCAATTTACACAGGAGAAATGTGCATTCTCAATTTTGCCTGAAAAAGACAAGCTGAAGTGTTCTTTTGACAATGGAAAATGTTTCCTCTTACAGTGTATTCCTTTTCAAATGAGCCTACATTACTTTTAAAACTGTGTGGACTCTTTTAAAACTGTAAGCTTAGGAGGAGTAACAATTTGCTAGCTAAGCCATAAACTTGTTTCTCATGTTTTACTTCTGTGTATTATTTCCTGCGAAGACAATGGCCTGAAAAAGCATTTAGTAATGTCGACTCCTTAATTTCCATTCTAATTTAGGATTCTGTCTTTTCCAAAGGAATCAACTGAAATTCAATAATTATTTCTAGCTGCATTCTTAGAATGATTCAGCAAGAGAAGATAGGGCTATGTCAAAAAAAAATATATATATGAAAAAAACACACAAAAAGAATAAAAGAAAAAGAAAATTAATAATGACAAAAATGAGCCTTAAAGCAACACATAAAGCCATGTACCTGCTCAATCCAAAAAGCAAAGCTGTTAAGCAGGAACCTGATAACCAGTCTAGCTACAAATATTCGTTTAGCAGCTACGAGTTCAGGCTCTACATGAGTTGCCATTATCCTTTTTGGACTCACGAGAGTCTCTAAGCCAGGTTGTATGTACAGCCTAAACACATTAAGTGAACAAACAACATTAATTGCCTTTGGTATGCTGACACATGTAGGGCAGTCCATACTTACTTTCTGAAGAGGTAGTTCTTGGAGATCAAATTTAGACTTAGTCTGCAAGTTTAAAGTCATGCTTCTGCCTGCATGCATTGCTGAAATACCTCCATAGGGCAGCATGCCAAGGTTAACTGTGTTGTGTTTGTAAGCAGCATTCTGAGTAGAGGAGATAATCATGTGACAGGGTGTGAACACATGCTCAACAAACCAATTATTACATGAACATGTTTAAATTTATCACATTTAACTTTAAGCGAGCACACAGTACTTCTCTTTTTAAAACATGCACTTGATCAGACAGAAGCATACAATCAACAGTGTTAGTTATGCACATAATGAGTACCATCGAAAGCTACAGAGAAGACAAAAAGCAAAGGTACATTCTGGGTCACATTTGTTGCTAACTCAAACGCGTAAAAATCTATCTCTTATGTATCATGATAGTAGTGGCTCTGGATCAATGTTCATCTGTGGCAATCTACTCATTAAAAGAAAATTCAAACAGTGAAGTCTTAATCAAATTTTGTCAGCTGCAGATCTCATGGTCTCTTTCACATTGTGAGATCATTGCATACAAAAGACAAATACGAGCTTCTAATTCTGGCTTAAAACGAACGCACTGCGATGTTAAAGCCGAAATCAGCCTCCTTTATATCTCAGTCTATAGGCTTAATTACAGCAACTAACGAAAAGAGCTAGTAAAAAAAAAAAATCCTCATTCAATCTGACCGCTGGCTGATTGAATTTACTGATTAATTTAGGTAAAGTAGTCAAATAAGTTGTATGTGGAACCCAAGAGTCTAACTTTTTTTGTTGCTTAAAAATTACATTTTAAACTGGAGGTATTTCATACTGAAGCTAGAGGAATTATGATTTGAACTATTAATGCTATTTCACTAGTATACCCACATACGGATGGAAAACGTGATATTTTCATTGTGGCAGCCCTTTAGGAGGTGCATCTAAAGTTAGTCCAAGTACCTGATATTTAATTTTTTCTATAGAACTTTACTTAAAAATTAAAACATTTTGGATGCCTGGTCATCAAATAGTTTCCATCAGTACGATTTCCACTTTCCACCTATCATGGAAATGTACTAAGCTACAGCATTTGGCTCTTTAAGTAATTCTCATATTTTGGGGAAGAAAACCCCAAATCTACAGAAGTTAACTTAGTATACTTAAAAAAAACTGTATATTATTGAATATTAACAGTAGGTAGCTATTCTATTCTGAGAGCATTATGTGCAAAGTAATGATTTTTAGCATCAAAGTTTTATTTAACTCAACTGAAAGATGATTCTACTCCTGATGGTGTGCTTACCTACCAATCATATTTGTTACAGATCCCTGATTTTTCATTGGCACTGCCAAAATGGAGAAGGACACTGAACATTTCAATCTAGCACTGAAATGATTCCTTAAAGTTTAAAATTACTCCAGGCTAGTGCTCTTTCAGCTCCTATTGAAGAGTTGCAGCCTCAGACACATGGGTTCATGTTCTAAATTCTCAGTGGGGCGCTAAGCCTTGAGGTTAAACTAAAAGAGAACACAAGCATCTTTTTATTGAGGGTAGTACTTGGAGCTGCCTCTCCAAGTACCAAACTAGATCTTTAACCAACATTACGTTGGGCTGTTAAGCTTATCCAATGCCAGGCCTCTAGGCAGTTCTCTTTTATGAGGAATGGACAAAGAGCTTGCAGTGTCTAGTGTAATGATTTGATTTCTAGTGTTCAAGTCGCTCAACTGAATTTCAGTGGGATGGCAGCTCATCCTGTCTCTGGTACTGTCTGACTTTGGACAGAATGCTAAGTACCACAGCTATGTCAAAACTAGTTTTACATAACAACTGCTTCAGTAACCTGGAGTCATCTTGTTGAGTAGCTGGGAAGTTTTAAGTAAGATACAGCTTGAATTGCTCAGTAACTTAACTGAGAGGAAGAAAGAAATGTTTCTTGGAGAAAATAAGAGGAAGAGCTTCCGGGATCCAATGGCTTGAAACAATACTTTAAGGTAATTTAATTTCTTGGAATTAAATGAGAAGCTATTGAATATACATTGAAATTTCTCTGAAAAATGAAAGACAGACTTAGAAAATTACAAACAAACTGGGGATACATGGAGACTAACTAAAAGGGAGGCATTGTTGCAGCAATGGAAAATACACGAGTTGCTTTTGAGTTATCTGGACCTGGGACAGGCAGGGTCTCCAGACTTATGGTGACCCAAATCCCCCTCGCTCAGGCTTATCTTCCTCCCTCCAAAGTCCTGCTCCAACTAGAGGAGTCACCTACTTGTCAGCAGCTCTGATCAAAGCAGAGGAACCTTTATCTGGGAAACCAGGAGATAAATGATGGTACCAAATGTTTGGGATTTTGTCTTTTTTATGTTTTGTTTTCACTCACTCCTCTGTTGCCTCAAATTGCTAGTCATTGTACATTTGCTCAGAAAAGCTTCTTACAACCTTTCTTGACTAGTTCATCTTACCCTGTTACGTATGGTCGTGTCTACACGAGGCCAGAGTTCCCAAACTGTACTGTATTATTTGGCCCCAAATATTTTCGCCCTCCAAGTTATCTGTCTACATGGAGGGTATAACTTGAGGTAAGGCATGGTGACAACCGACCAGGTGTCTCCCACTGACAGCCAGTCATGAGGCTTTGATGAGGCTCCCTTCAATGGGACTGAGCACACCTATTTGAAACAGACATTCTCATGAAATATTTCATAAGGCAGAACCAGTTTCCACATTGAGAAACTAACACCCCACACCCGCATTTATTAGTTCACGCTTTCCCTAAAAGTAATTGTTTTCTTGTCATGTAGACACGACCTACAAACAACATAATTATTTAAAAAGAGTACACCTGAAAACACAAAAATCAATATTAAGGAAATATATAATAAATGCAGTGACCTGTGCTTTTAGCAGGATGCCAAATAAAGTCATAAAAACATTGTGTGAAGCATTCTAATAGTATGTTATTACTCAGATTCCCAATTTACACTGAGCATTTAAACCTAGAAAATGGGAGCAAAAGGACCTGTTTTCACAAAAAGGAGCTTTAAGAGTTTAAGGTCAATGCAGAGCACACAGAGCCCTCTACACCAACGCCACCAAATACAGTCAGTAATGATGGTCAGTGATCATGCTTCTAGGAAATGAAAGAGCAGATTTCTCTTAGAGAGAAATAAACAGGCAACAAAAGTTAATTCTAGGCCTTATACAATTTTTTTTTACTCTTCAATTATTATGCATTCCATGTTTTATTATGACTCAATTTTTACCTGAATTGGGATTAATTTCCTTCTCTTTTGCTGCGACATACACACTAACTTATATAGTCTTCATAAAGACATCTATTTTTTTACTTGAATTTAAACATTTCTTTTGATATAAAGATTAACATTCTAAATGGCAAGATTTTTATTAAATAAAATCATGTGTAGGAGGGCATTTAATCTCTGCTTATTTTATTTTTCTGTTTCTTGCTGGGATGATTATTGCTCATTTGAAGTAATAACTTTAGTACTCCCAAAGCAGTAACTATATGCAAATTTTATAAACAAATTAGGCCTGACATTAATAAAAGTGAGTCTGTGCAGAAAGGGGCAAAATGCTCACTTTTTATAGATTCAATAAAAGTCATACTTTGTAGGTCACTAGAGAACCGTTTTGTGTCCTAGGAGAGGCATTTAGCCTCAATGGCTAGAAGGCAATTGAAGCATCATCCCCTATAATAGAGTGAAATTCTTTCTGACTAACAACATTTAGGTTAGATTTGATAAATCATTCACCTACAGGTTATGGACTCGCAAAAAAGCATTAAACAATATCCACGAACACCTATTGTGATCAAATTCCCCACCATATAACGAGAAATAAAATGCTTATCATCTATTCATTCATGTAGTTCATGCTTCACTACATGTACTTAGAAATGCCAAGAAAGCAAAACTAAAGGCAGGAGGGATATGCTTACAGAGAAATGCCAAACATACCCTGTCTAACCTTCTAGCTTCTATATGTCTAAGCAGCTGTTGTCTCCAGTCTGCAGGCATTTTACCACAGCTCTCCTCTCCCTTCACAGGAGTAGGCCTCGTCTTTATATCACTGTTATCTGATGGCTTGTCACCATAGTTACCCAAGTTATAGTCAGATGGTATTTTCTCCAAAAGAGCTGCCATAGTAGGCCTAGCTGAAACTGGCCTGGTTTGGGAGGCACCGTAACTCTCTGTACTGTAGCTTCTTGCAGACAGTGGCCTCCTCTGGGTAAGGTTTTTAACTGGAAAACTTCCCGCCTGAGCTTTCACTTCTTGATATGAAGGGTGTTCATCTTCATACCTGCCATTCCTTTTCAGGAACTGGGACTCAGTCACTGAAACGCTGCTTTGGCGATCCAGACCTGCCCTATATGGAGGCCGGCCGTACCTATCACTCGGAGGCAGCTCATGAGGTTCACTGACCCTTCTGAACATGGCCATCTCTGTGGAGCTCGCCAGGGAGTCAGCTCGTCTCAAGAAGCCTGCCCTGGCACCTTGGCTTGCAAACTGGGCATTTATCATGGCATCCTCATTCACAGATGGCTGAGAAAATGAAAAGATTTGCTCCATGGGTGGGTATCCCCGGTACGCTCTGGGACTGACCAAATCCTTGGCGAGGTTTTTGCCGGGCTGTTGCATGTACTCAGAATTGTGTTGAAAAGGGGGCTGTATCCTCTTTTCGGCTTTCACTTCCACTGCTCCTTGGGGATTGAAGCTTTGGTCAAACTGATAGACTTTTTTTGTCATGGAAGCTTTTTGTTGTTGAGGCCCTTTACTGCTTCCATAAGTGAGCATCTCGTCATCCAGCATGGGGACCGACTGGCTTCGAGACATGCTGGACATACCGTGCTCTGGTCCCAACATTTTATCTGGCCGTTCATGGCTTCCTAAGTGATCACTTCCAGAAGCGTAGTTTTCTAATGGTATGTTATAAACCTTGTAGGTACCAATGTCAATCTCATCGATACTCTGTGACTTTTTGAATTTATTGGACTTGATATCTTTCATTAGTGGGGAAAGCCTCTCTGTGCTTTTGCTAATGGAAATAACACCTTTAGAAGATTCTGGGCGGCAGTGGATTTGTGAAAAGACATTACTAAGACTCCTATTGGGATTGGAATCGTGATACTCCCATGGCACTCCTGGAGAAAAAGGACTAGGTATCTCAGCAGGTTCTTTTATATGTTCTTTCCTTTCAGGCAATGGGCTGGTGGTGGGGGTTGTCTCTAATTTGGAAGGGAAAGCGGTCCTGTCTTCAAAAGGACTAGGGGTTCTGGTCCAATTCTGCCAAGGATTGGAAGGAGGCACTTCTGTTTCTGGCGTGTGTCTATGTGCAGTCTGCTCAAGTTCCAGGGGAACCCCAACAATCCTATCCTGCCTAATCAAAGGCCTGCGTCCGTGAGAAGATGGGTTTCTAGATTTCGAATTTAAGAGGGCGTTACTGTTGGCATTGTCGCCTGTGGTTTCCTCTGCAACAAACCCCGTGTTATCATAATGTGAGCCATCAGTCCAGTTGTCAGTGAAGGTGTCACTTATTGGCAGCCGGTCAGGACGCTGTGGCAGATTCCCTGGGGGAACAGCCTCCCGCTGGCTGAGTAATGGCTTTGAATCAAGAGGTTGTGGGAAAGATTGTGCAATCCTGTGAAGACAATGAGAAAAAGAAATGTGAAAATGAGGAAGAGCTGGGTCTTTACCACAAAGAGAACAAGCAGCCAAGAATGCCACCATCCTTTGTTTAATGGGTCATTCATGAACACCTCAGTTATGATTAAGATAGCATGATTATTTCATGTCCCCTAAATCTACCTTTTACTCTGCTTTAACTTTTCTTTCTTACTAGTATTCATCACCTTCTAACATATAATTTACTTAGCTATTATATTTATTGTGTATTATCTTGTGTCTGGCACAAAGTAGGTGTTAAAAATATATTTGTTGAATGAATGAATGAATGAAATATATAGGTCTTCAGTAATGGTTCCAAAACCTGTCTGATAATCATTTGACTCCTGGTCCTGATCCCTGGAATTTCTGATTCAGTACATTTCCAAACTATTGGTTTAGAGCACCTATCTTATAAATGCTTTGTGCAACTAAGGAACCCAAACTGCCTTCCAATAAAATTTATTTGAAGGCCAGGTATTGAAGACATTAAATCCATTTTATAAGGAATATACTCATGTATCTTTCTCTAGAATTTAAGTTGTATTATATTATATTACATTATATTATATGATGATTTTTGGTCATTGGAATGTTTATACCAGTAACCACAGTGTGTCTAAAAGATGCTCATTTTTCTAAATTTATTCACAACCATTTGCACACTAATAATATTGAATTATATATTTTCTATCAGTGAAAGACTTTTAAATGCTTTTGCTAATAGAAAAAAAGTATATTTAGAAGGTATCTTCCAGAAGTACCTAAATTAATCTCAGCTTTTATCACCAATAATGAATTATAAATTGTAAGGGTTAAGATTTTTGTCACAAGCATCAATAAGTAGAAATAGTTATTCCTTAATTACCCAAGAATGTATTGCCAACAGTAGTGATATTAGCAGTAAAATATGGGTAAGAGTCACTGACTACGTATATCATATGATAATTTTTTTTTTTGCTATGTGTAGTGTAAAACATAGCAACAAGCTAGAAAACAAGGAGATCACAGCGGGGCAAATACTAACTTACTGAGTCACTTTGTTGTGATCTGTGGCTTTGGTTTTTTTCATCTGTAAAATGGAAGTCATATAGAGCAGTATCCATTTTGAAAAGATCAAATACTTTTCCTTACATCCTAACTTTTCCAGGTAGTGACAAAATGATGGTGATGATGATACCAATGAAAAATTTATTGAATATGTACATTGTATCAGGCATATATGAGTTTTACATGCACCTTACTTTAATCCATACCACCATTTTGAATAGTGAAATGCCCACATGTATATAAGTATTGGGAAAACACAATTTTTTATTAAAATTTTTTTTGTCCTGAGTAAACCTGTTTATCCCTTACCATCACTCCCTTAATCAACAGTTTTGCTTTGTAAAATGGACTCATATGCTCTTGGGAATTCCACGGGACTACATTTGCTTACCTGCCCCTTCTAGAAGTTGTCTGTGCCACTCATGTTCTTAATACAATTCCAAAATTAAGATGATTTCATTTTTAAAAGTTGCTGAAAACAAGCATTTGGGAACAGAAAAGAGGGACTTCTAAACACACCTGTTACCCCACAAAGAGTTATGTACTGCATCTTTAGCTGTTGTCTGCAAGGACCCCATTTTAACCCGGGTGTTGGAGGATCCTGACGAAGCCTGGGAAGGCGAGTAGTCTGAGTAAGTGCCTGAGGAAACACTGTTATTCAGACAGTGAGTTTTGTCAACTTCAGACTCATCAGTTGATTCTGAAATGGAAAGGAGAAAATATTATAATACTCTTAAACATGGACAATTATAAACACAGATAAGTGTGTATGAAAAACAGATAACATGTTGATTAATGTTAGCAATATTATTTATAAAATATTTCTATAGACTATTGTGTATCATAATTTACAACTGGTGATTCGTCATGCACATGCATGTGGGGCATATTTTCCACACCAGGTTCACAGTGTTACCTTTTTTGTCCTTCCCTAGCAGAACAAGTTTGGGTGGGTACAGAGGGGTCTCAGCTAATGAAGGGTGAAGCTCCCCAATCCTCATTTCATTAGCTGGATGAACAAAAGAATCCTGAGAGATATAATAATATAGGACAAGGAAAGTAAACATTTAAACAATGGTTAACCAAGATGACAATATCTTTATCTGGCTCAGAGTTAAATATGGGCCTCTAGACTTTAAATCACTGTGGAGCACTGAGAGAAGTGAATCATATGTATCTCTGAAGTAAGCCCTAATTTTTTTTCTAATTTAAATGAGTCCATTTATTCATCAGACATTTTTCAAATGCTGTTTATATGCCTGACACTGTGCAAAGAACTGTAGAGCTTCCAAAGAAAGACAAAATGTCACCCATGCCCTTAGGGAGTTTACAATCTAGTTGGGGAGATGAGATATAACACATTATAATACACGACTGAATTACAATAAACCATATGTGAGTAACACACGTGTAAGAATTCTAAGGGATGATCTCTCTTAAGAACTCTAAAATGAAAGTGTATCACTATTTTTTTTAATCCTTTGTCATATTAATGCAAAATTGGGCTCTATAAGTCCAGCTTTTACCACCAATCTCCCTGCTGTTTCCCAAGTGATCTCAATTTTAGTTCTACTATAAATTCTTTCTAAGGTTTCTAGTTTTCTTGTGATCAATCTAGCCTGCTAACGCTTCATTCTAATAAATCCATTCATTGAGTGTAATGAACAACACTGGTACAAGAATATAACTATCTTGTTATATTCATGACAAATGAACATGTAAAAACCCATGAATTTTAAACTTCTATAATTCAAGTTATTTTTCACAGGTAACCTGGTAGTGGGAGAGCATTAGGGAAGGTAAAAATACCAAATTCTCACTTCCCTCTACATATAAAAATGGCTCATCTAAAACTATGAGTAAACACTGATGTAAATTTATGCACAGCAATTACCTTTATGTCTTTTTTTTCTCTTAACCTTTAGGTTAATCTGAATTCAAAGAATTTTCAGGGTTTTTTTCATTCATTAGAACTTGTTAGTTTGGAACATTAATGTAACACAATAAGAAATATTTTGTTAAATCAGAGAAAGAATATACTTGAGGACAAAAACATAAAAAATGAAATGGGTCCTACCTTATAACTAATTGGTTGGCAGTGATCAGATAGAAGCTCTTATTGTAAATGTTAAGGCCCCCATAGTGATAGGCTCAGGCCTTTCGTTATTACAGAGAAACATCTATTTCTTTAACTCTTGGCTTACGTTTTACCTTTTGGGATGTTTTTGGTTATGTTTGTTTATGTGGGAATATTTGCTTATGAAAAACCAGGGTATATCTGATACATTTTAGTTTTTGCTTTTACAGAATATTCCAGTGGAAGAAGATTAAAAAATCATCTAGTCCCTTTCATTTCCTAGAGGTGGATTCTGAGACCCAGTGAGGGCCAGGTTCATGTGGATAACTAGACAAAGATCCGACATGGAGGCACGATTCCATTGGTCCAGTGATATTTCCTTATATTATGCTGCCTCCTGGTGAGCTCAGCTGTGAGAGCATTAGAAACTTACATGCAGTATCAGAGTTGAAGAGAGATAGGAAAGAGAGTGGAATTGATGGAAATTCTGGAGATGAAGAGGGAAATCTGTTTTTGTGGGTTTTTAAAATTATTTCAAGGATTTTAGCATAAGAAACAAGATAAAATTTTAGGTTGACAGAATAGAGAATAAAAGCCGTTACAAATCTTTGGAGAAATTTACAAGTAGAAGCAGATGTAAGTTTGATAAATGGTACCATGAAAGGCATAAAAAAAATCAGTTGCAAGGTGGCATATTTCTATTTTATTCCTGCTTTACCATTTATTAATCAGGTTACCTTGGGCAAGTCATGGTACCTCCTTCGATCTTATTCAACTCATTAACAAAATGAAGGTAATAGATAATAAGGAACTAATGCAAATTTCTGTCTAGTACTAATAATATTCTATAAATCTAAATATAACTTATTTGTTGAAATAATATTAAAAATATTCTTATGAAATTTAATATAGAAGTATAGGTATTTTGTTTTAGTCAAAATAACAAACCAAATAGTTATACAACACAGAAATGTAAATATAATTGAGGGTTTTACTATTTTTTTCCCCTATGCCTTAGACAATAAGTACTCAAGTTATCTTGTATGTGTAGATCAAACTTTCATACTTGTATCCCAGGATTGTGAGTGGAACTCAGGACAGTAGCTATGAGCTGCCTCAGGAACAAGTCTCTGGCCCTACTCAAGAATTGCTATTTTGAATCAAAAAGAGCCCTAGCAACTAGGAAGAGTATGATTTCAGCTAATAATGAACTTGCACCTCTTCTTTAGAGTTCTGTGCACCACCACCTACGAGAATAACACTACTGAAGCAAGAATAATGGATTTGCACTGATCCCGTTAGGCTCTCTTATCGTTGTGAGCAAAATGATGATGATGACAATGGTCATGATGTAGATGATGATGGGATCAGTTATCGAGAAACTATTACATGTCCGCTATGGTGCTACTACACTGAACACACTATATTATCCCTGTTAATTATTTAAACAATAATGTTATTATTTATTTTAAAGTTATTTGTTATAATTATCTTTGCTTTACAAATCAGGAAGTGAAGGCTCAGAGAGGTAAAGCCATAAATCCAAGTCACAAACCTAATAAGTGGTAGAGCCAGGCTTTGAACTAGGATCTGTCCTACTAAATTCTTTTATAGAGTCTGGAGGAGTTAAGTTCATGTTGAAAAAGTGGGTAAAACTTTTGGGACAACTTGTAAGGTAGTGGAGGTAAGTGGTGGGGAATCAAACTTAGTGAGGATCCTACTATAAGCAGATTGAACCATATTTTCTTCTGGTGAGGAGACAGAAATAGATGTGAAAGAAAAAGTAAAATACTTTTTTTTCTTCTTTTTTTAACCCAATTGCTCTTTCACCATTCAAACTGAATCTTGGCAGCTGTATCTTGGTGAAAGGGAGCCTAAGGCAGAAGTCAAAGGGGGAAAAAAACCAAAAAAACCCCAAACCAACAACAAAAAAATAGCTTCTGTCTGAGCTTTGAGAGTACAGGTCTAGTATTAATAAAAGCATTTAATGACATATTAAGGGTAATTGACTATTCTCTATTACCAGGAGAAAGATGTTCTTCTATAGAAAAACTTGAGCTGAGTCTCCTAACAGAGGGAAGAGTGCAGAACCTTTATCAGTGTGGACATGGTAAACAGGTATCCAGTGTAAATACAAGGTAGTGACCCACAAAAGGTTTAAAAGAAGATGGAGCAGGATAAGTACATCATCTCTGTGTGAGGCAAGGGGGTAGGGATTATCATTTACTGTGCCAAGGACTGTGCTTGGGGCCATATGTAAATACTTGTTTTTATCTGATTTCATCTCCACAAAAACTGAGTGTTATTATTTTCTGTATTTTCAAAGATTAAAAAAAACAACAACGCTCAGAAAGATTTCAGTGACTTGTCAAAGTCACACAATTGGTAATAAGTTAGATTCAAGATTTGAACTAGTGTCTGCTAGACTTCAAAGATCTTCTCCTTGATACCGAACTGGGCTCTAAGGCACTTGTGGTATGATTGCCAATTCACAGGGATGCATAAGTTATTTTAAATATTTGAAGGAGACAAATCAATACTTGACATCAGTCAGATACTGCATGAACTGCTACCTCCAGGTAGCTCTTAGTTGCAACATTAGATTGTGCATTCCCTTTGATGAAGCTGGGTTTTTCTTTGTGAAGTTGGGTTTTTAGTGGTTGCTGTGATAAAAAACCAAGGGCCACTTGAAAATCAAGGGGAAACAGAAATTAGAGTGGTAGCATCCAGTAGGATTCCAAGGTCTGAGAAGGTAGGTGGTGTCCAACAGGTGCCCACATTCCATTAATATGTAGTTTTGGTTATTTAAGAATTTAAGAATATAAAAATATTTTCTCTTTTACTTTATGCATATTATTTTTCAAATGACCACTAAGTGGGGCATAAATAGTCACTCAGTTGTTTGGACCCAATTACTTAATAAATGAAACTGTTAGGTGTTTCTTTTGGTCTAGGGTGCTTGTACCACAATTATTAAGACACTTAAAGTCATTTGTGTACCAGGAATTCAGGAACCTGTAGCGTTTACTTATTTTGTGTCACAGTTTTATTCACTGTACCATTCTCATTCCTTATTCTTTCTTTCCCTACCACTCTTACTCCACAATATTCTCCATCATAATATTTTACCTTTACTCATATTATTATATCAATGTATTAATATACATAACATAATAGAGTTAACAATTTCATTTTATTGGTCATTTGGTAGATTGTTGTTAAAATAAATTTTATTCAACAATCAGGTGATAAATGTAGATAGGTATGGCAGTCGACACTCACTAATTCAACAAAAACTCGGAGACATTGTCTTTGCTTTCAATGAACTTCTAATTGGATGGAGAGACAGACATCTAACAGAGTTACAATACTACACCATAGAAGTCATTCGCTTATTCAACAGACATTCCTTGTGCCCTTCTCTGCATATAATAAGCACTGTGCTAGACACTGGGAGGACAGTGGTGAACAAGACAAACATGGTCCCTGCCTTCATGAAACTCCCATCAGAAGTTAATAAACAATACAACCATAAATGCTTTTATTATATTTGATGCAAAGAAACAGAGAGATCAGCAGGTCCTACTGATCCGGGTGATCAAGGAAGGCCTTCCAGTTGAGCTAATCTTTAAGCGGAAACTTAAAAGAGGAGGAAGTTCTAGTCATATAAAGAGCTGGTTCTACAGACTGAATGTTTGTGTCCCCTCAACACTGATATGTAAAAACCATCACATTTACATGTGATGGCATTTGGAGGTGGGGGTCTTTGGCTGGTGATTAGGTTGTGAAGGTAGAGCTTTCGTGATGGGGTCAGTGTCTTTATAAAAGTGACCCCAGATTGCTCCCTAGTTCCTTCCACCAGGTGAAGCCACAGAGAGAAGATGGCCATCCATGAGCCAGCCTCTCACTGGACATTGAATCTGCTGATATCTTGACCTTGGACTTTCCAGCCTCAGTACTATGAGAAATAAATCTGTTTCGTTTATAAACCTAGTCTATGGTTTTTTGTTATAGCAGCCTGAATGGACAAAAACTCTGGAAAAAAAGCAAACACAAATCCCACAAGGCATATACAATGGAAAATGGGAAAAGTGGGGAACCTCATATCACCCCATCATCCTTGTTCATATGGCGCTACCAGCTGGATCCTCTGTTTAGCACAACATGTTGAAACTCTTGGTATAGGGTTGGCAAATGGAAATCAGGATACCTCCCATATTTCTAGACTGAGTAGGTAATGGTGGCAGTTGAGTTCAAGATAAGGAATACAGCAGCAGAAGGAAGTTAGGGGAAGAAGCACTAAATTTAATTTTGGATTTGTTAGGCTTGAAGCACTTGTGGGACAATTTAAGATATATTTTCTCTGTGAGGGCTATTACGAAATTCATGGCCAAAGCCATATTTTCCTTGCCTCACCTATCTCATTCCTGTATTAAGCAATTTTAGGATTTCCTTATTTGTAGTAAATGGCTTTCCTTATTTGCAGTTTATGGATTATCATGATCTCACAATTATTTTGATGTTATGCTGTGATTACATGAGGTTTAAATACGGTGTATTGTGTACCTGCTCAATGTTGATTTTCTGGCTTTTTATATTATTGCAGTATCTTAGAAATAAAAGTATTTTACTTTAGTATAACATATCTGTATTATTTCAGGAAGAAAAAAAGTAAATAATGCTGATTTTATCACCAAAAGAAAAAAAAGCAATGAATATGAATTTTTACTTAAATTTTCTTCCCTAGATATCCAGCTGTAAGCCTCTCTTCTGGGGCAGGCTGGTCCTTCCACTGGCAGATGTGCACATCATGCTTAGTTTTGCGCAAGGATTTCCCTTTGCCTGGAATGCCTTCTTCTCTTTTTGACTTTAAAATAATTACCCAATTATTAAAATGCAGTTCCACCTCAAACTGCTTCACATACCTTTTTAACTCATTGGCAATGACTGCTTATCTCTCCAAATTCTTAGTGTATTATATTCTCCATCACACACCGACCATGTGATCATATTGCATTTTCTAATCACTTCATCTTTGTGAAGTTTACCTGACTAGGCTCTAAATTATCTGGGGACTATGCACACATTTTATATTTCTTTTCTCTCTCACAGTGTTTAGCACAGTGCTAAATACATAGTTGGTGTTTAATCAGCACAACAAATGGATGCTCTGAAATGCAGATTTGTAAAAGAGTTTTTCAATCTACATTTTGAGAAGCAAAGGTATAGTAACTTCTAGAGGCATTCATACCAATTATGTTTTTAATGAAGATAAAAAGGTGATAACCAAATTATCTGAAGAGTTGATGAGATAGTGCAGAGGTGGCATAAATGTAGTTGAATTCTTTTCAGACCAAACAAATTAATAACGAATATCCAATTCATCGTAAAATGTAGGAATTAAGATTCATATGCCTAGAATCCAGAAAGTTATATTTCAAAGTTATCTCCCCTTTTTTGTTGTTTATAGTAGTGTTTCCTATAATGGTTATAACACAGCAGAAAAACATAAAAAAAATGGCTCTAAATCTGATCAGGGATTTTACTGAGATTTGCAGGATAAAAAATTTCATTTAGTCTTTTCTAATGACTCATACAATAGAAATATGGAGTAGCCAAAAGGATATCACCAAAATGATATAATGTGCTCACTGGCCAGACCGAGCTAGGTGAGCAAAAATTTCCTTCCATGGGTATTGGAGCTTTTGGAGCTTTATTAATTATTTTTAGGCCATGAGGGTGTCATTTATCTGTGCTTTATTAAATGCAACCCTCACAGTTTGAAAAAGTTAGAGAGACTCATTTATATTTTAGGAAATAAAAAATGCATTTTTTAAAGACGATCTACTCAGTTAAAAACCCCCAAAAAACATATCATTTAGTAATTCCAAAAAATCCAAACCACACTGGCAATTACCAATAACCTTGAAATACCTCCACTGTAATCTCCTTTGGGGCTACAGGCCACTTGTGTTCATATTTTTCTTTCACAGTTTGCTCCGTGTTAGCAGTTGGATTTGAATTCTCAACACGCACTCCATGGCTTGGCTTACCCACCATATTTTGAACAGATTTTACCATATTCTTTAAATCCTCTGGGTAAGGAGTTGGATATCGTTTTAGGTTTATTTCAACCTAGAAGTTTATAAAAAGAAATTTAACATAAAAATACCTTCAGCAAGCATAGTCACAAAACGACTCCATTTTATGTGTAATAGTATAACCAAATGCAGTATAGTGAGTGTTGAGCTGGCTGAGAAACTGTTCTGCAGAGTAGAACACAGAGTGTTCCTCTCCCGTTACGCCTTATGGGACTTTTCCTCATCCCTGCCCACCCTTCTAGATTAAACACAATTTTTTTGGATTATATCCTGTCTTTAGACCTACCCCATAATGATTGAAATGGCCGAGCATCCAGTGCTTGACTGGTAATCTTTGAACACATTAATCATTACTATCAGCTGCTTTTATATTTTAGAGGCTGTTTCCTTCCCTATCTTAGTTATTTTTTAAAGAATTATATTGATATGAAAAACATCTTCAGAATAACAATGGAGGTGCTAGAGGAGACATCTAAAAATTTACAAGTAGAGTGAGTTATCAGGTATAAAAAAATGGAGAAGTGACAGTGTCTGCTACATAAATATGTATCGGTTCTATGCCAATTAGCATGTTATATCGAAAGGTAGGGCATTTAATTCTTGTTACTATTTAAGAAAATATGTTTTGGAGTGGTTTTTATATTTAGTTTTTACCCTAATAAAGTAACATGCTTTGTAGCAACGTCTTACAAGAAAGAGTAATAAAAAATTGAGAATGTTTTCTAAGATAGTCTAGGTAAAGATGTAATATTTATCCAGATCTTTATTTTCATTCTTGAATTCATTTCTGGTGTGTCAACCTGACTTCAGGGAGCATATATATTAATGATTACTTTCTCCATTTAATTGAAGAGAGAAAATAGGAGATATTCCATGTAGAATATCTCACCATCAGGGTACTTATATTTAAATGGAATAGATATAAATTATTCATGCTGATTAAACGGGAGTTGGAGGGAAAACAAGGGGCAGATTTACTTGGCCAGGCTTTTTCCAAAAATCATGATGTTTTGCATCTGAGTAGAACCAACTTTATAAAATGGAATGGTTTATGTGATTGTGGCGAGTATGTGTCTGTGGCAAGTGTGTGTGGGGGTCGGGGAAGAGAAGGTGGAACAGAAGCTGAAAGAGGAAGAAGAGTGGGAATGAGAGAGAAAATAAAGAAATTGAGAAAGGCGTATACATACCCATCCCACACACCCATGTAATTCATGGGATGTAAGAAACTATGATGGCGGTATAGAATTGAGGATTATAAATATGAATTCAAACACTTTTGCCCATCTGCAGTTTTAGCAAATCCACCAACTTTGTTATTCTAGTATTTTGCCTTTCTTGTGGCTCGTTTTCCTTATCAAATACTGGGATTGGACTTCCCTAGATGATTTCTAACATGCCTTTCAGTACTAAAACTATAAAATTATTTTTTCAATGAACTTTTGGAAAGCTGATGAAAAACCAGACAATTTTGCTAATGTTAAGTATTGTTTAAATGTAATTGAATCCTTTATTCTCCCAAATAAATAAGGATGAAATTAATAATATGTAGAAATAAAGCTACAAAAATATAACCCAAGAAAAAGTTAGACTTTACAGAAAAAAAAGTGTAAGTTGTTAGAGTATAATATAAATATATTTTAGGGTACTTAACTTATAATGGATTCATCAATAAACATAAAAAGAATGATATCCATACTAGACAAAGTCAACTGGGATGCATGCATTTTTGGATCTTTTATTTAAATTGTAATAAAAGTGTTAATCACAAATTAAATCTAAATTTTAAATTATATTTTTGAGCTTGTCTAAAAGTACTTGATATCAAAGGGCTAAAACCGAATGCTACATTAAAAAATGTAAATTATAGAATGGTATGACTATTATGCCAATTAAAAGCATCTTTTAATTTTTTATAACCAGTGGTGTATGAATGAAAAAATCATTTTCAAGTAGGGCATTAAATTAAAGTTCTATGTACCTTAAAATATCCTCTATGCTAAAATTACACTTCTAAATTGAGTCAAAGGCAAAAAAAAAATGTGGAGTGTTCTTCTTTAATTCAATTAAATACTTCATTGAATAATGTAACCTATTTAATGTAGATGGTATGTCCCAATGGACACAATTAGACAGCTATTTACTAATGGTCATGGTACCAATATTCTCTGGTTATTTTATAAGCAAGTTAATGTGATATTTTGGTCACATTACCAGAATATGTTTGGGTATTTTATCTCTGCAAAAAATTTTAAATCTAGAAACAGAAGCGTATTTTCCATAAAGCTAATGAAGTTTAAGCTTTAGGGCCTGTCACATGGGTTCTTTCCCTCTCTTTCCTTGAGCGGGCCCCTAGTTAGGTATTCATGTGGTGATTTTATATTCTTTTCCTTAAAGTGGCCCTTCCCCAAATGGTGGGTGCTTCAAATTTCATAAAACTTAGATTTGCTCCACCTAGACAATAAACTCCTTGTTTCCCATTTATGAGTCTACCAGCAGAATTAACTGGACTTTGAGACTAAGTTTAAGCTACAGATTTACCCTAACTAGCTATCAGTTCCTACTCTATGAAAAGGGGAATGATAATATCTCTCTCACATACTTGGGTTAGAGTTAAAATGAGATAATAAATGCGATAATCCTATGAAAATGTATAGGTTCTGTACAGAGATTAAATACTACATCTAATATCATATTCTACTTATGTATTTTTAAAATATGGGTTTCTTTGGCAATCTAGAATCTACTATATATATATATATATATATTTAACCACAATACCTATAACTTTCTGAATTTTTTTTCAGAGTATATGCAGCAAAGATTATCATTTACTCAGTATTTGCCATGTGCCAGGTACCATGTAAAATGTTTTATAAGGATATTTAATTTGTTATTAGTTATTTATATAAAAATAATACTTATTTACCATATGTTTAAATATAAGTAACAAATGATTAACTATATTAATTCATAATTTATATTCAATTATAATTAAATCTCATTTAAATTTCACAACCCATTATAGTATCTGTTTCCATTTTATGGGAAAAAAGAAAAACAAAAACTCGGGGCTCAGACAGTGTAAGCTACTTGCCCAAGGTCTTACAGCTAGTAGGCAGCAACGTCCAAATTCAAACTCAGGTCGCTGACGCAAATTTCATGCTACACAAGTGTTACTTGGCTCAGAGCTATTCTTGGCATAAATGCAGCATATATGTGTACAATCTTATGGAAGAAATACTGTAAGTTTAGAATGTGAATTTTATTCAGTTAAATAACAAAATAATTTCCATTTTTTGAAACATAAAGCTATCACAATATTTTATAATTTCTTTTTAAATGAAACTGTATTTTATAATTTTGTATGTTTATAAGCTCTTCTAAAGAATATTTTGTACCTTTTCAGATTACTTTCCCTTCCTAATTTTCAACTCACATGTGCAGTACTTCAGAAATGAATAAACATGATCATAAACACAATTATATTAAAAGCTCAGTAATGCCCAAATACAAAAGCAGTTTCCTTATATTTCTAAATGTATAGGCTCTAAATATTCCCTTATTACTAACATGGGATGAAAATAGATGTATATTCATTGATTATAACATAGGTGGGGGAAAATCTGTCAATTACGTTTTTACCAAAATGTTTTGTATATCACTCACCATAAAGTATTTGTTCATTTTACATATACATTTTAATAAAATGAGAGATTTTTACTGAAATGCTATTTTATTTTAATTTTGGAAAATAGAAATGCTTCACAACAGTCTATATATGTCAGATCTAAATAAAGTGCAGTAAATGCAAATAGCAGCTGCAAGATGTTGGAGACTCCCAAAAATTTAGCAATGAAGAAAGAATTAATGTTAACAGCTAAGGCATTTAGAAGTGATATCTTCAATTCACACAAAACTCTGATTTTCTTATATAATGATTAAATTCTCATTTGATTTGGTTGTAAATTCCAGTAAGAGAAATAATAGTTAATGCTTTGATTATTGATTATTAAATATCTTATTGTAGGGATTAATTGGAACATTTTAATTACAAAGGAAACCTAAAGCAGTTTTAGTGAGGAAAATGCATTCTCAGCTTGCCTTATATTGTAGAAAGAATATAAGGCAGAATAATAACCTAGCCCATTACATGTGAATGGTAAAGTTTACCAAAATAGCAGTGTTCTTTCACATCCCATTAAGACTTTTTTTTTTTCATTAAATTCTTAAACACCTGACTCATGGAGATAAGGAAGCCCTATTTGCCACAATTCCCAAACCAATCTTCTCTTACAGGAATTCTCATCATTTGTGCCTTTAAATTAAAGGGAAATTGATGCTTTNCTAAATGCAGACAGCATGGCCCCACTTGATTACCTCGCCTCTTGGCCTGTGTCTCTATAGCTGAGGCTACCACTAGGGTGCATTTCAGCCTGCAGATGTGTTTTGTTTGTTTTACATCATATTTTAAAAAGTGATAAACTCTACATAATGACCCAGACCTTTGGTACCGCTTAAAAAAGAGGAAGCTCTGCCAATACTGGGCCTGTATTCTTTCATGACAAGCAATGGGAATAGAGTAATGGTGGCTGCCTCTGAATGGGCACAGTTCACAATCCGCACCACGCCATACTTGGCCCGCTTCACCCCAGATCTGCAGGAAGGAATTGTATGAATGCACATTCAAGTTATCACCAGGGAACAAGACATTTCAATGGCTGGTTTGAGACAGCTGGGAAAGAAAGAGGGCCTGGCACAGAGTAAGCATTAGCTGTATTTAAGTTGTCATTGATTCTGTTGTTAATATTATTACACTGTCATTACCATTAATATTATTGTTATTACTGCAATAGGAAGGAACCCCAAGGGTGAGGATGTCGCCCTTGTACAGGGAAGAATGAATTGGAGTTAGCTGGACTAGGTGGCAGACTTGGCTTCCTTTTTGACATCTTGGAACTAGCTGGCTTGAATGCCATTTACCTCCCAATCATAGAGTTAACAAAGTGAACACAGACATTAAGCATATGGGTTTTA